AGAAATCTTACATCATCTCTGCAAGTCACATCGATTTATCTGAGCAACCACTCTGTTGGATTCTGTGGGTCTCATGAGGTTTGCTTCTGATGTCAGCACCTCCTCATGACAGGCAGTCCAGGTGCCTGCCTTCATGTCCACTTGGATGTCCTGTTGTGTTTCACTTTCAGCATCCTAAACATAGTTCCTCTGTGCCATAGCATATGTTGCATGAAGGGACCTCAGATATTATCCCCTGAGTTTGCTGATGGACTGTCTTTGCTGAACCCATTTCTTCTTGCCCTGAGATCCCTCCCCTCTCACCCACTAATGCCAGTATATCCTCAACAGGTTCCCACAGCCCTCACCCCATGAACATCCCAGCTGGCCTTAATTGCTCTTTGGCTTCCCATAGTACTGTGTTTTTACTTCATTTCTTAATCTAGTTTAACCAGTGTTTAAATTAAATACTGAAGTTAATTTAAGCCATCACTTACCTCTCCCATCAGCTTAACAATTTCTTGTGAAAAGTAATATTTTACTAATCTAGTGCCTCTTGTGTGCCTTTCGTTTCTTTGCACATGGTGTTTAATAAACATCTGTTGAATAAGTGAATGAAGAAGAAAAGAAAGACCATCTAAGACGGGTTGGTTGATGTCAAAGTGTCTGAAGACAATACGTTTTGTAGATGTTTATATTTTATATCCCTGCTCTAGCCTTTTAAAATATGCCATTTTTACTTTGATTGACTTGAATCTTTGAGAAATCTTGCCTCTGTTATCACTTGTAATATTTTAAATCCCTTGAAAAACAGTGGTGAGATTTAACAGTGGAAAGTTCATCAACCTATCAGCCCTGAAATAGACTGAACCTCAACCCCAGACTCTTTCTTTGTTTATTGGGATTTTCTAGTGCCATTGCTTTCAAGCTGAGAGGAATTTTTCAGTCACCTAGAGGGATCCCATATTTCATGCACCCACGATCAATAGCCAATAAGAATGGTGAAAGAGAGCAAACCCTGTCTCTGATGTTGACCTATTCTGCTTTGTGTCTTCCCTTGCTTCCTCCTAGCCGGGAAATGTTTCATATTCACAGCACAGTCAGTGCTCCTTGCCTGCCACCAGGCCACTGAGTGGGAGAAGCCCAGAAAGGAGGATGCAGCAGGTACATGGGCCTCTTGAAGGTCATGACTGATAGCTCACAGCACCATCCATCATGCTGGGCCTCATAGCTCCTGCTCATGTCCTGCTCACAGCCCAGCCTCTTTAGGTGATAAGCAGCTCTTCCTAACCCTCTGCCTCAGCTCTCAAGTCTTCCCTGTGGCCCTCTCCCTCCTCCCACCTCTGCTTTCTGCCTTATCTCCTTGTCACATCCTGGAATGGGTGAGCCTACTGCAGCCTGCCTGAGCACTGTGGTGGTTCTGGTTAGCAGTACACAGAACAAGTGGGGAGGGGCAGAAGACAGACAGGATCCTGCCTGACAGCCAGCGAGTAACAAGTATATCCACACAGGGGAAGTTCAAGGCCTTCCTGCTCACTCTGAAGCCATTTCTCTTGGAAGGTTTGCCTCTATGGAACCTCCAGGCAGGAACTGCCCCTCCTGCCCAGCCCATCCAACTTCTGCCAGCACCCCTCTAGACACAAAGGTGCATCACAGTGCCCAGCAACATCCTTATCTTCATAATTCAGGGCTGAGGTGATACAGGTAAGAGCATCAGTGCAACAGTGAATAGCTAGAGAAAATGCTGCAGAGACACCCTCCCAACTGAAATGACGCGCCAGGATACATCCTTTGATGCCCACCTTCTTTCACCTCCCCCGCCAAAAAAAATAAAATAATAAAGTAAAAAAGATTCAGGACCACAGACAACTCTGCCAGGAGGAAATGACCTTCTATCTGGCTTGTAAGTCCAGGCTCTTCCCACTTTCCATGTGAACAAAGACTGTCTACATATCACCTGTCAAGTGAGGGTAACAGTGAGCCACTGCAAACTGTTCTGAATCTGCAGGTTATTTGGGGAAGAAGTTATTGAAAAATAGCCTATAGGAAAATGCTTGATTCCATCTTATTCAGGCCCAGACTAAATTTCTTATGACACTGCAGGTCTGGGGAGAAGCCATGGGCACAGGAGAAGAGTCCTGTGCTGATGAGAGTGCAGGGCTGTGTTTTCCAGCCCAGTGCTGTTTATTAAATGCAATTAGTGATGGCCTTTCAGGGTAGCAGGTGGCTGGACACACAGCGAATAAATCCCTGGCTAAGGACCCGTGGAAGGAGTGGTTGCACATGCAAAAATAAGTGACAGACCCCTCCAGTCCTGTTCGCTCAGCTTCGAAGCCTTCCTCCTCCTGTTGCTCATCCCCATGCCCCTCAGCTGGCTGGAGTTTCTTCTGACACCACCAGGGTTTATTTGAGAATGGAAGGGAAAGAAATTTGCAGGCTCATCAATCTGGTGTCTTTTCTCTGCAGGGATGGGGGTCCTTTAGTTTAAGGAATAGTACTTGGAGAACGTTTCTGTGCTGAGCAGTATAAGAGAAGGAGATATAGTTGGTACCTTTGAAGTTTCCCCAGATGAGCAGAGGATTTGTGCCTGAAGCAACTTAGCAACACCATTTTTTCTTCATTTCTTTGTTTAGATGTATGTTGTGAATTGTTTTTTTGGATTTTATTTTTGTAGTTTATTAGACTCTGGTGTGATAACAGGCATAGAAGACACAGACTCTTTCTTGTAAATCTTTCTCCCTTCCTTCCTTGAGGTATCAGTCAGGTTCAGGCAGGAGACACAAACCATGGCAGTATTTGTTTTTTCATACAGAGAATTTAAACTAAAGAAATGTTAGCCTTTGAGGTAGTTAACTAAAAAGTCCAAAGGAGAATATAAAGGTATCATGGAGATATCAACTGCAGAAATCAGCACCCTCCCCCCACCCTAGGACTGTGGGAACAGGGGGAGAAATTGGAGTTAATAAAAAACCTAAAAGGTCAGAGGAGGGGTCCCTCACAGCTAAGGCTTAGACCTCTGAAGAAGAAGAAAAGCAGACCAGGTATCTCTGAGCCCAGAGGAGAGACGCTGTGGCTGGGACCCACAACTAAGGAGAAGGGCCAGCGGTTGTGCTGGCAATCTCTGGAGAGGGTGCAGTGAGGCTGGTCCTGCACATGTTGGAAAAACTGTCGCATGAATTCACCTGCTTCTACTGGTTGCAGGCATGCAGAAAGCCAGCAGAAAGGAGCCAGCTTTTTCTCCCCCCTCTACTTGATCTGTAGCCTCCCCTTAGGGCCAATTGACTGAGCGTGGCAGGGAGTACACTTTGCCCAGCCCAGCCTCTCCCAGCAGTGCTGGCAGGTGAGTTTGGGGCTGAGAAGCAGTAGCTTAGTAACTTTTTTAGCCTAAGAGCAAATCCGAGGGTCCTTTCTGCCTTGTAGCACCAAGCCTGGAGCCTTCACTTCTTGTTTCTTCCTCTCCAGCTCTGTGCTTGGCCCTTTTGTTCTCCAGAACAGGTCTAAAGACCCTCAGCATTTCCAGGTTTCCATCTTATAATCCTCTCATACCTTCTGCCAAAGAGTGCTCTCCTGACAGAAAATGATGTCACAGCTCAATTTCTAGCCACTTGGTCTTTCCAGGAGGTTTTCTCTTATGTCAGCATTTCTCTGATGGCCTTCCTCTCCATCTGGTGCCACAGCCAAATTGAAGTTGGTGAAACCAGGAGTTATGGAAGACAGCCATGAGGCTTTCTAATTCAAGTCCACAAACATTGACTGTTTCCTCTTTGTGCCAGGCACTATGCTTCATAGAAAGAGGGAGAAGATGTGGGCGCTGCCCTGGACACTTGTAATCAGGTGACATACACAGATATCTGAGCTGTTCCCTAGATTATGGACCCTAATGATGAGGACCACAACATGAGAAGGTGGGAGAAGCAACTGGATCTGAATTAAGTTGTGGTTTAGCTATGTAGGAAATAAAATAGTAAACATGTGTATTTACTATGTACTTTACTAATACTAATGCCTTTGATCCTCATGGCAACCCATGAGAGAATACTAGTATGATCCCCCTTTTTGCAGATGAGAAACTGGGCACTTAAGGACTGCCCAAGGTAAGAAAAACTAGCAAGTGACTGAGCTGAGTGGTAACAGCTAAGTGTTAGGCTTCATTTGTAGATTAAATAAAGTAACAGTAACAGTGCCTGGCATCTGGTAAGCACTATATGGTAACCAGCGTTGTGTTGTTAAACTGATGAGTGTTTTTTTTTTTTTAATTTAGAAAACAAAGAGAAAGAGGTAATCATACCTTACCTTGAATGGAGTTTTGTAATTGATAAGTGTTTTTAATACATGTTATTCCATTTCGTTTTCATAATGATTAGATGAGGTAAGGATACCAGTCTTTGTTATGGAGGAGCCTAAAGGAAACTAAAAACGGAATAGAAGGTGTCATTAAGAGACAGGAGAGGCAGCACAACTGTTGTGCATTCAGCATGTTCATGGAAGAAGGGATGCTTTGCTGGGTGGGCTGGGATTTACGGATGAACAGGAGATTTGGGAGTCACATGCACTGGGCGCAGACCCCTCTCGGCCTCTCACCCATTAACCATCCACCCCTGAACACAGTAGCTTCTGCACCTCCTTTCCCCAGCTGCAAAATCTGGACAATCCATCTGCCTTGTTCCACTGAGAGGATGGATAGGTGGAAGTTGAAAATCTTTGAATTGTATACAGGTAACAAGCATTTATGATAGTTTTTGGAAAAAAGAAGAAATTCCCAAATTTGCCTTTATGGCTAATGCTGTGTACAGAACCACGGTTATTAATTTTGCATAAGGGAAATTATCATTAATGAGTTTGGAATAGTGCCTCTTGCTTGATGCTCTTGCTTGATCACAGCTTCAGCAATACTGCGTAGGGTTTATTTGATGGAACTCTGAAGGCTAGTGTTCCAGATTCCCAATAGTTAAAATTCTTCAACTGGCAAGAAGCCCAGGGTCATTTTGAGAGGCAGGAATTGTGATTTGAGTGGAGGAGAGATGTGGGTACCCCAGAAATCTGGATGCAAATATGTTCGCCAGATGTCCCTGCTGACTTTCCTGCTGGCCTCTGAGAGGATGGTTGGGCTCTGGTAACTAGTGGAATCCCAAATTTGAGTTGCACTTGGTCTTCTTAGTTTAAAAATTAGGAAGGACAGACCCCACTAATAATCTTTGCTAGGTTTCCCTTGCCTAACTTGGTTAAAGCTAGCATTTCTCAGATTTACTTGACAGTGGTGCAGATTTTTCAAGGTACCCCTCATTATTTGAATGGACTGATCTGACTGAGATGTCTCCTTCCTGGAGGGAAGATGTGGCTGTCCCTGTGAAAGGGAGAGTGCTCTGATGGCCCCATATAAACTTTGAGCCATACTTGCAAGGACAGCTGAGTCTGTGTCTGCTCCCAACATACACATGCTACACTTTGCAGTTACCATGACTTATGGTCCCTTTCCCCTTTGGTCTGTGAGTTCTTAGGGAACAGGGAGGAAGTCTGAGTGACCAGAGCAGCCATCAGACATGCAAGACACATAACAGGAACCTGATGTGTTCTCAGGCTCTGATGTGTAAGTTCTGCTGGTTACCACCTGAGCTTAGGAGCTGGTGTTTCCCCATCAGAACTTCATACTCACATTCTTCTGCTAACTAAGACATACCATTGGCCCCCATGAACTTTGGTGTAGACTTTGTTGGTCTCATTTTAATTTGATGTAAAAGAAAATAACACTTCACATTTCTCCCTAATGTGGGGAAATTGAATTCGTTGTCTTTTTTGTTGAAGCAGACACTAATGCTGACAGCTTGAATTTTATTTTAAATATAGGAAACTATTTTTCAAAAAGACACAAATGCATAAATCGTAACTAGTATTTCCCTTCACTGCATAATTTCTCTGGGTAATGACTAAGCATTGATATCCTTTCTCCTTTCATTTTATTTTTTATCTAATATGTGATGTTTAGAAAATATGTAATATGTTTAAGTTATATGGCATGGTAATACAATAGATACCCATGAAGCCACTACCCAACTTATGCAGAATCTCACCAGTGCCTTGCCCCTGCCTGCATTTTCCTCTCCATCCCATCCTCCTACTTATAGCAGCCAAGATGTTTTCTCTTAAACATTTAGGTGGTCATGTTAGCTTTTTTGTTTCCTCTCCATTTCTACCCTATGACTGATTGAGAGTTGATATTAGACTATTTGCTAGAAATATCAAATCAATAAGTATTCTCACAAATAATTTACTTAGCCTAACCCACTTTCCCTGGGCATTTCTGTCACCAAATGGGATAGAGAACAAAGCTTCCCACACAGACCAGGGGTGGATGTCTATCTACTGGGAGAAGGGGGAGCATTGCAGAGAAGCAACTGAAGCAATGTTAATTCTTTGGCCTATGGAGGTCGGGAAGAAATATTAAACATGTGGCATCAAGGGCCCCAAAGAACCACTAGACAGGGGTATGGGGACTGAGATGATGTAAATTGAAGAAAGAACTGTGAACCTGTTTTTAGAGCTCTTGCTCTAAGTACCTACCATTTCAAGGAGGTATGTACTTAGAGCAAGAGGGAGGGGAGGAGGAAGAAGAAAGGAAGGTCAAGTTCAAGGGAGTACATGCTATAAAAGGCCTTCCTTCTGTGAGATTCTCAAGTGTGATCTTTACTCCACTTTTGAGCAAACCTTTGAAAATCATGTCTCTAGTTTTTCAGGTTCGTTTTTGGTACATTTCTCTGCACACTGGAATAGTATATGAATTCAGTCAAGTTCAAGTGACTCTCTAGCCAGCCCCCAGTTTGACCTCCTGGCGTATGCAGCCCCTGTCTGAATGGGGGGACTTGTAGACACTGAGATGATATAAATTGAAGAAAGCTGTGAACCTAGTTTTGGAGCTCTTGCTCTAAGTACATACCATCTTAAGGTTAAATTCAGGGTTGGGATTCACAGACCTAGTTTCCCATTATGTGTTTGTTTTCACCTAGCATCTCCACTAACTTTAAATGCAATAAGTGGAAGGGACATACTTGTCCTACAGTAAACATGATTAACTGGTATGAGGGTCTAAGGCTATGGTGGTACAGACAGGAAATACAATAGCAGATTTACGCAGCTGGACAAACCTTCCACTGACACTTAACCTCTAAGAGGAAAAAAACAGATGCAACAGTAATAGTGCCTCCAGAAAGACAGCATTATTTAACTTAAAAAAAAATGAGTTTAAGAGACAAAATCTTTGATATGTTCTGAAGATGAGATAAACAGAATAAGGATAGAAGTTCCCCATTTTTTAGGGACCCTTATTTCTTCCATCAGTATGTTTTTTTAACTCGTGTTTTCTTTTCATAAAACCTTTGTTGAGATGTAATTCACATACTGTACAGTTCACCCACTTAAGGTCTGTGATTCAGTGGTTTTTTAGTCTATTCACAGAGATGTGTAATCATCTACACAATCAATTTTAGAACATTTTCATCACCCCCAAAAGATATTAATTTATTTTTGACATCTTTGTCCTATGTAAAATACTTGGCCAGATGCTCAAAGGCAGTGAAGTAGAACTCGGCTGCAGACCTCCATCCCCTCTGCAATTCCTTCTTTAACCAGAGGCTCATGCAATATTTTATTTTAACAAAGATTTCTGAGACTGGCTTTTTTTTTTCTTAAGGTGAAATCCATTACATTCAGGCAGGAGCCTTTGAAACCTTGCTTAGGATCCCTAAGGTCCCCTGGAGAATATGGGGTCACAGGCAATGACTGGGCTCCCCACTCCCCTGCTTAACCAGAGTAGCATAGTATATCTGCATTTGTCAAATACTTGATTTGTTTTCAATAAAGCATTCTAGAGCTTTGAAGTAAATTTGAGAGAATTTAAAATGATTCAAAAATCATGTTGCTGTCCTCAAGGAGTTCATTAGAGAGTCCGGGACCATGATACAGAAACATTAAAAGTTAATGCAATGCAAGGTTACCGATATAACTGTTCCACACAATTTCATTATGGAAATACTTTGTTTTCTGTGAATTTTTAAAAAACTGAAATTCTATCAAAAGCTAAACATAAATGTGGAAGAGATCCTATTAAAGTTTAGAGGACTGTTTTAGAACTTGATGAGTCTCATGTGGTTTCTTGGTGAAATAACAGAACAAAAGTTGCCTGAGTAGAAACAATGCCTACCTCTGACCAACATAGTATGCTTTTGGCATTCAGTGAAATTAAGTAAGAACAGAAACAAAATATTGGAACAAAGTAAGAAGTTGTATAAACATCAAGGCAGCATGAAATCATGAGTTAAAACTACCTGAATTCCTTAAGTGCCAAACCCACTAGCCAAATTTGATAATCATTTTTAAAATCACAGAATGAACAGATGAATCAAAGTAAGGGCTATCAAACATTTGGATGTAAAACAAAGTAATTGATAGTACGTACTCTTCTGATACGCAAGACTGATTTTTAAGTCAGTTTAGATAAGAACATAATCGCATGGACAATAAACAGACTGAAAGAGCTTATAAAGCAAGATAATTAATCTAAAAGGTAAATGAATCCTTGGAAAACAAAATGTCATGGAAGGTACCATAGGGGTAAATGTTGGATTTGGTCTTATTTACATAATTGTTAATGAGACTGAATAGCCTATTTCTGGAAACAGTAGTAGAAATTTGGTAATGAATGTGTTCCTCCCAAAAATTCATATTTTGAGATCCAACCTCTAAGATGGTAGTATTAGGAGGTGGGACTCTAGAGAGGTAATTAGGTCATGAGGGCAGAGCCTGCAGGAATAGGATTAGTGCCCTTATAAGAAGAGACAAGAGAGCTTGCTCTCTTTCTTCTTCTGCCTGTTACAGCAAGAAAGCTGCTATTTGTAAACCAGGAAGAGGGCCTTCAAGCACTCGACCACTGGCTCCCAGAACTGTGAGAAATAGGTGTTTGTTGTTCATGACACCCATTCTACAGTATTTTTGTTATAGCAGCCTGAGCCCCTAGTTTTAAATGGGAGGCCAGAAAGCAGAGGAGTTAGTAGCACAACCTGGCCTTAGATGACCTACATTTGATTTTGACTTTGCCACCTACTGACTGTTTGACCTTAGACAAATTAGTGAAGGTGTCTTAAGCTTCCATTTCCCTATGGACACAGTAGAGTAGTAATAGTAGCTATCTTACAGGATTGCACTGTGCGTTAATGGGACGATGCGCGTGAGTCGCCTGGCACAGCCTCTGGCACACCGTGCCCCATGAGTGTATAACCATTGTTCATCGTATAATCACAAGAAAAATCAAGGGGACGTGTGTTCTGACCTGGAAAGAGAAGCAGTACCCACAGGAACTGCGAAGCAGTCCTTTGCCTAAATGCGGCCATGGTTAAAAGCTGACTGAAAGTCACCTTGACAATTTCAGAACTCTGTGGAGAACTTATAGAGGAAGCAGAGACTTTTCCCTGTTTGAATAATTTCCCCTGGGCTCAAGCAGTTCTCTCGCCTTGGCCTCCCAGAGTGCTGGGATTATAGACTTGCGCCACCGTGCCTGGTCTATATTCTTAACAATGTAGAGGAATGCAATACATATATGTATGTATATATATACATATATATATCAATTTAGTAAAGTATGATTTTGGTACTTTTTTAACTCCTTAGGATGTCATCTCAACTGTCTATATTTGGACTGCATAATACAATTTTGTGTCTGGGTTATAGACCAGGTCCTTATACTGACTCATTGAATTACTTTTAATGGGTTTGTGAATCCTAGAAGTTCTACACAAAAATCTGTGTTAATGAAAATATGTACTTTTCTGGAATAAAGATTTGAATCTATTATCATAATCTCAGAGAGTTCTGTGTCCTCCTTCCCCACAAGTTAATAACCGTTTTCTAAAGAAATAGAGTGAAGTTGATGTTGCTTTGCAGGCTGTACTTTGCCTGCTCCAAACACACAGCGGTATAGATCAAAATCTGAAAAGAGAAAATGAAAAAGTTAAAACCATGCCCCCACTCTCTCAAAAAAGATATATCACAGTGGACACAAGACAAACACAAATGCAAAGCAGAGTGTGTAGGTACAAACACTGTGGCTGCAGGA